GGGAGGAAGCCGGAGTACCCGGAGGGAACCCACGCAAACACGGGGAGAACATGCAAACTCCACACAGAAAGACCCCGGCCTGATGGTGGAATTGAACTCAGGATCTTCTTGCTGTGCGGCAACAGTGCTAACCACCGTGCCACCGTGCTATTTTTTTCAATATTCTTTTATTCTTTTTATAGCCATAACACAGATTTCTCTCATGATTGCATGCAATTCTTAAAGGTATACATGCATACAAATTGTATTTACATATGCAAATGATTCAAATTAACATACTCTAAATATGTTTTATAAATAAATGTAAAACTTATAACATAACCCTGTGCAAAAAAAAGTCCTCATTTAAAATATTCTTAACAACTAAATGTAAAACAGATGTACAGTATAAGGTAAACACAACAGTTGGATAGTGTAAGCCAGGAACACAGTGTGACAGAAACACTGGTGTCATTCAGAACAGCTAATTAAAACAAAGCCAACAGTGTTAATGAAAAGTGATTAGTGAATGCTCTGTAGTTCTCATTGCTATCAGTTTAACTGTGACCAAATTATCATCAAAGAAAGACTTGATGATTTCAAGAAGGTTTGTTGGCAAAAGAAGATTATCAACCCTATTCTGAAAAAAAGGGATGCCGAGTAAAATGTAAATAAAAGCTGAATTTAAAGATTTGCAAATCTCACAACCCCAAATTTTATTCACAAAAAACCCATCAAAAACACACTTTACATACTTCACAAGTATGTAAAGTGTGTTTATTAAGCGCAAGCAATCAGACAAGCAATCACAAAGTGGTGTACACAAAAGGCTAAAATAAACATGAACATTAAACTCCCAGGACCTGTCGTCCACATATGTGGACATCACATTTTGGGTTGTCTAGAGCAAAATTTGTATTTTGCTCTACAAGGGCCTGATATCCACTTACGAGGGTGTTGTACTTCCACTGTTCTATCAAAATGTAAAGCGAATGTCCTCATATATGGAAACAAAAATCAGGTTAAAAAAAACAAACATGTAATTTTTGGTTTTTACATTCATCAGGTCCTAATCAGCCCAAATAGCAAAGAAAATTAAAAATGCATGCCATGAAAGAGTTTGGGTCTTAGGAGGTTAAGTGTGGAAAAAATGAAATAAGATATAATAAAATAAACTGGTAGTTTCAAAATAAGTAAAACATAATTTTTAAAAAATTCTCGGGAAAAGGCCTGTTTGAAAAAAGTTTTAACTGCTTTTTAAAATAATGCACAGAGTCAACTAATTGTAGTTTTGATGGTAAAGTGTGCCACAGCTTTGGTGCCACAAGCTCAAAGGGTCTGTCGCCCTTAGTTTTTAGTCAGGTATGGGGAACAACAAATTCAGAGTCTGTGAATGGAGACGACAAGAAGCAGTGTATTTTGTAAAAATCTGAGATAAATAATCTGTGACCTGGCCATTTAGTGCTCTGTATGTTAAAACAAGAATTTTTAAACGAATCCTAAAATCTACTGGGAGCCAATAAAGAATATAAAATAGGAGTAATTTGAACTTGTTAGCTAGAACTTGTTAGTAGTCTGACTGCAGCATTTTGAATAGCTTTGAGGTGTGAAAGAGAGTGTCCGTGGTTACGGTAACTTTATTTATTAACAAGACATTATTCAGGTGAAATAATGACACTCAGACAAGTTCTGTTAAAATAGCAACGTGCACGGGTGAGCGGCTCTCAGGAGACACTCACACCGAGTGCAGGCGATAGCTCTTTATTTATAAGACACATTGCGTATGGCAAATACCTTCATCTTCCTTTAATACATGTTCTGTTAAAAACTTCCTGTGACTGAGTGTGTGTACGTTTGTGTGGGGTCATATGAGTGTAGTCTAATTTCGGGAACTGCTGTTAGAGATTTAATCTCTTGTGGTTAGGTCGCTGTCTCTGGCCTTCATCAACATACAGAGTTAAAATGTCAGTGTGCACAAAAATGAAAAGTACAGCATATTTGTGAAATATATGAACACATCAATATGAGCTTATAGTAAACAGTAGTAAATAAACTTATATATGTTAAAAATCTCATGACAGAGAGGATCTGTCCAAGCTGGTAAACAGAGCATTAAAATAATCTAAATGCAATGACACAAATGCAAGAACTATTTTTTCCAGCTCAGCTGAGGCGACAATATGTCGCAATTTTGAAATGTTCCTTAAATGAAAGAAACAGGAACAAGACAAAGATTTTATATGCAAGTCAAGGCCCAAAGAAGACTCAAATATTACTCCAAGATTTTGAATGTTGGTGTTAGTAGTTGAACAAAAAGAAGCAAGAACCCGACTGATTTAAGAATGTATTTCAGGAGGAGCTATAATCATGGTCTAAGGTTTGTTAGTGATTGAAACAAGGTAATTGCTAGCGAGCCAATCAGTAACCTGAGTTACCCAGTGGACTAAGCTGGACAGCCTATCCAGCTAATGAGGCTTAAAAGACTGTCATCGGCACAGAAATGATAAGAAATGTCACTAAAAGATTGAAAAATGCCAGCGAGAAAGAAGAAGCACCTAGAAAGAAAATAATGTATGCAAACCTGAACCCTGTGGAACCCTGCAGGTTAGGGAGGATATGATAGAGGTGAACTTGTTTGTTCTAACAGAGAAGGTCCTGTCAGATAAGTAAGAAGAAAACCAGTCTAAGGCAGAGCCAGATACACCAGCCAGAACATTCAGCATATTAAGTAGGATTTTATGATCAATTGTATCAAAGGCTGCACTGAGATCAAGCAATATGATTACAGAACAATTCCCTGCATCAGAAGCCATTAAAAGATTATTATAAACCTTCAAGAGGGCGATCTCAGTGGAGCGCTGCTTTTGAAAGCCAGATTGAAAAAGGTAACAAATCTTTAATTTGCATAGTAAAGATCTGAACTGATTTTCTACAAGTTTTTCTAATAATTTGCTTATAAGTGACAATTTTGAAAATAGGCCAATAATTACCAGTAAAGTTGGGATGAACATTCGAATACGATGGAACATAACTTTGCCTCAGTTCCACATGATAGACAGCAATGTGGGACCAATGCTGGTGAGTCCCAGACAGGAGAAAAGCAGGTAATGTATCTAAGGAGCATGACAAGAATTTCATTTTACCTATTACTGTAGTTAAGTCATTAAGTGTAATTGGAGGGAAAGAAAAGTAAATGACCCAGGGCACTGAGGACCATCATAAGGGAAGCTACTTGAGGAGATTTTGGATCTTAAGCCCATCACCTTATTTACAAAGTGATTGAGAAATGTATTGCAATCATCGTCAGAAAAGAACATAGCATGCTGGGTTGGAGGGGAAACAATCTTGTTGATAGTCTCAAATAATACCTTGGATTATTCTTATGGAAATGTATGAGATTATTGAAATAAGAGGATCTAGCCTCTTTCACTGACTCATTATATATGTGAAGAAGCTCTACAAAGTATTTGTGATGGAAACTTAGACCCGTGGACTTCCACAGATGTTCTGCTCTTTGACGGGAATGTCGAAGATCACAAGTTTGATTATCTAACCAGGGTGTGCAGGAACTGACAGAGCAATGACTACTGTGGTTTTGTGAGGAGCGATCTGATTAAAAGTGGCTATCAGGGTTCAATACAAGACTTAACAAGGAGCTCAACATGGTCACAAAAAGTTATGAAATTAAAAAGAAAACTTAGAAATGATAGCTATCAATAAAGCGCCTGTACCTAATACAAACTTGGGAAAAAGTTTAAAAGTTTAAGAGTCCATAATGTTCAGGAAATTCCTAGTGGTACTATTTGATGGGTCCTCTGCACGAATGTTGAAGTCCCCAGCAATGATGACCTTGCCCAACTTAATAGCAGAAGTCTGACAGAAAAGATGCTGCAGACCCAGGTGGACCATAAATTGAAATACCATACATCGGTTGATCTCTTCCAGTTTTGATCATAATTATCTCAAAAGAGCTGTAACAGCTCGAAGAGATCATCTGGCATAAAAATGTCTTTTTAAAAATCACAGCTGTTCCACCTTCTCGTCCAGAGATCTGAAGTTCACAGAAAAATGAACAGTCTGCAGTGCATAGCTCTAAAAGATGTGAGACTTCATGCTGCCATGTCTCAGAGATAAACATAAAATCAAGCTAAATATAAGCTAAATTATATCAAATATAAGACTGTTGTCAATTGAGCGGCCATTGAAAACTCATTATTATACAAAATTTCAGTTATGTGAAAACAAAAAAAAATGTATTATCATCATTCAGAGTAACAATAACATTTAAAGTTGATATAGCAAGTTCCATTAAAAACACTTTCTAAATTCTGGTAGTACAAAATAGTCAACATTGTTTTTTGCTGTTATTTAGTGTGTTTGTTGGCCACACATACATGCAAATCCAATATTCTTTAACACAGCTTGGGTCGGGTCTCTACCACCTACTGGTAGAAGCATCTGTTCTTTGGGTTTCTGAATACACCACCAGCCAAAACCTAAACTGAGCACATGTTGTCACTAAAAACGTCATCTTTCACATACACAACCATTCAATACATTTTATCATATTACTAAAGTGGCATGTCATTTTTTTATCCATTAGCAAAGTATTAATATATGTACATAATAAATTTTGCATTAAATATGCAACAATATAATAAAAGTATTTACCTGAGTGCAACTGTTAATCACTGCTTGACTTTTTCAAAATATATATCTAATTAAAATGTGGTTGGCTGTTGTTTTTGTACCAGAGATTTCAAAGTGTGTAAATGGATGCAGTCGTCTGACTTAAATGACTTGTTTCAAATTCCTGAATGTTGTCTGCGTTCATCTTCAAACTAACAAGAAATCTAAAGAATTGGAACCAGATCCAAAGATCTGCATATCGTCAACATCTCCAGGTTTACCTCTGCTAAACTGACTGATTTTGTCTTGCAAGAGGTCTCTTTCTCTCAGTAGGCTTTGCAGCAGGTTGTTGCAGCAGGAACATAAGTGGGTTGAATTCGACTGAAATTGCTCGGTCTGGCACATGTCTTCTATCACAGAGGTGTTGCAAGGAAACTGATTGATATCCTCTTTTGAATAAACTGGAAATAAACATAATTTTGGGGTCATATTTTTTATACTTTCCATCAGAAAACATGTTACAGTACTTATGATACATTTATTTTCCATTATAAATATATATTTGTGTTCACAACTTACCGGCAAGGTGGAGGGAGATATTGAGGATGGCTTGTAAGATACACAATACTCCTAAAGTTACAATCCCCATCCTCAGGAGTCTTCTTTCTGTAAACACAAAAACAGATAAATACATACTACATTCACAATAGTGAGACAGCTTTCTGATTACTTCAAAATCGTGACTGTTTCTCTTTTAGTTTGCATTTTTCTCATATTCTTACCTGATTGAGCAGAGTTGATGCTGCTTGTTCCAGTTTTGACCTTTTTTCCCCCAAGGTCATGTATGGTGGAATACTCAGAAAGCTCTAATTCTTCTGCCATGAGGTTAACTTACAGTGAGATGGGTTAGTCGTGCCTCAGTTTCTGTGCCCTGGCATCTGTTGTTTCTCAAATGTGACGAGTTGCCTTGACGTTATTTTCTAAAGAAAAAGCTGCTCTTGATTTGAGGAAGTGTTTTCATTGTGGTTTTATGTTGATGAGTCAGCCTCTGGAAAGATTAAATTCAGATGTAATTTTAGTTTTGAAATATGTTTCTGTACATAGTTGATTAATCACATTTATCTTCTTACTTAATTTATAATCCATTTGCATAAATACCCACCCGCCTTTTAAAGACTTCATTCTTTATGCAGTTTAAAATGGTCACAAACTCAACAGAGAACCAATTTGTTAAGGTCTTGAACCAGGCTGGTCAAATTTGCTATAAATTGATCTGCAACAGCAAGCAGTTCATTTTGTTTGTCAATCAATGTTGTCAGCAGATTTCAGTCTACAGTTGTGATTTTGTAAAGGACAAAGGTAAAAATGTTTATTGCAAGAATTTTGATATTCAGGTTGTAGCATCCAGTCGAACTGAGAAGGCCAGAACTGATGGTTGTTGAATGACCTTTATTATTCCTTGCCGTGTATCAGACAACGAACCAACGTAAGAGCTAGACAAACAAATAAAACAATTACCATATTATTCATGTAACACCGTCTTAACTGCTCATTGCGCTGGTCTAACCGTTTTCTATTAAACTATATAATACATATTATGCATTTCAGATTGCTCAAATTAAATCATATACATTACAAACCTTGTTCCCCTGTCGACTGTAGCTAGAACCATTCGTCTTTGTACAATTTAACCATATTCTTCTCTCCCTTTTCTCCGTTAGCATTAGTTTTCCGTTTTCTTCCGTCTTTTTGTACATCAAGTTGTTTACCATTAAACCATTCACTTCCGGTCACACAAGAAGTTACCAAAATAAAAGCACAAATGTTATATTACGTGAATATGCGCTAGCTTTACATATCCGCCGTTACACAGGTAATATCACTTACACATACTGTGATGTTATGATCTCACACTGTGCCCCCGGTCATGTCAGTTTAACTCTGTGCGCCATGCTTTTCGGCCAGGTTTCATGGACTCTGTGTGCACTACGTCTCGGACTACATCCTGTACGACTGTGTGTAGTGTTGTTTCACATCCAGCTTATCTAGACGCTGCTTGTGTGAGTTCTCCTGTACCTGTGGCTGCTCCTAAACTCACTCTTTCTAAGACTGCTAATTATGACATGGACAACTTAAGTACAGCAGAGTTGCTAGAACCAGCCCACCATAAGTCTCTGTTTACTGAAACTGTGTTTGGCTCCACTAACTTGGTTCACCCAGTGACTGTTACTGTTCCTGTGCTTCGCTCTCCGCCTCCAGTTCCTGTAACCAGGGCAGCGCGGGCCCGGCTTTCCCTTGCTCCCGTATCAGTTCCTCTGGAGAGGGTGGCTGAGGTCCAGCTGGTCCCTGTTTCTGTCCCCAGCCTGGCAGAGGCGCCGTTCATCCCAGCACCTGTCTCAGTCCCTCGGGTGGGAGC